CCTGGATATCTGTCTGAATCTGTTCCATGGATTCCATTTCTTTCCTGTGTTGGGCATTCACGGTTTCCATCATTTTCCTAAGTTCCTCTTTTTTTTTTTTTTAATCTATGTCTGCCCTAGAGTTACTATGCATGTCTTTCATTATGATCCCCATCTCTATAGTTATTTGAGAAATTATTTCTGACTTGATTTATTTTTCTAGAGGCTCATTCATCTGCTTTGTTACTTCCATTGTTACCACTTCTGAGGTGGGTGCTTTTCGAATTATTCTACCCCATTGCCCCCTGAGTCTGCCTTTGGTGAGCCTGAACTCTGGGGTTGCATCTTGCTTAAATGTCTTCTCACACTGTACTTTTTTTAAGCTTAATTCCTGGGTTGATGCTTATAAACTGCTTGTGGCAAATAGCTTTACTGCTAGTACATCAAAACTCTTAGGAAATGACTACTTCTGTCCTCTAGGTGTAGCTGGCTTTTGGGTTTTGAGTCTGTTGCAAGATCCTACCTCTCCAATTTATTGGGCATGAGAAATTGCTGCTAGTTTGGCCCAGCCCCTGGTTCTCTGGCACTAGCCTATAGTATTTTTAATGACACTTTGGCAATCTCAGTCTTGGCATACTAGGAAGAACAACTGATTAGAATAATAATGTCATCTTGGGTAATGTAATAAATCAGCAATAACACTAGCATCAAACATACCCTAGAAAAATGACAAACTGTGGTAACTTTTTAAAAATATGTTTTCAGTAACTATTAATTTGCCACATTTAACCATATGAAGTAGATCTGTCGTTATATAACAAAATCTAAAACAAACCAGAAAATTGTATACAATAAATGTTATCTGAGAATTTATTTAACTCCAAATAAATTAGTTTTATTATCACTTGAGGAACTGTTGGAACCAAATAGTCCTTAGAATTAAGTCCAATAAAAAGTGCAGTGATAAATTTTTCTGGCCCTTTGGCACAGCTGTTCTGCCTGTATCATATATGATCAACAGGTCTCAAAAAACCATGGTCCAAATCACTCCTTTCTGTATCAAAATAGGCAAACCATGTATTTTTTGGATATTGAGGCAAAACAGAAGTTGTTTGTTTTGCCTCAACATTCAAAAAAATGTCAGGTAACTTATTTTCCCCCAGTATCAGACATTATAGAAATATTATATATTTTGAAGACATTTGTCTTTTCATGAATACTGTGTTTATTTGTACAACGTGCTTAGTGAATGTGCCTCAAAAACAATAGGCTACTTTTGACAACCAATTTTAATCATCAATTTATACTCCTTCAGATCTTGGTTCAATTCTCCCCCTCTGAGACCTGCATTGCAATTTCCCCAGCTATTGCCCATCTGCACCCCTCACACTACTACTCTCTTATCTTGCTCTAGTTTCAAGGTTTATTAGTAGCATTTATCTCCACCTAGTATATCATAAAGTATACTAATTTCACTATTGTCTGCTTCCTCTATCCTGCCCCTGGACCTCCCTCTCTGCCTGCTCTCTTGCTAGAATGTAGCTGATTGATATATACATACTACTAAAGCAGAGCCTGGCCCATAACACTCATTTTTGAACATTTGTTGAATGAGAAAAATTAAGGAGTCTGTGAAGCTGGGAGAGCTTTCCATCTTTCAACTCCTCTTGCTTTCCTCAATCCTCTCTGAGAGGATCTGACTTAGACTCTACTAAACAGAGTTGGAAACTATACTTCATGTTCTTCCTTGGACTTTAGAGCCATCTTCATTAAAGAAGGAAACTTTCAACGGAGTTACACCCTCCATCTTTATTATTATTACATTAAGAATGATAGGTAAACAAGATATGGCTTACTGCTTCACTCTGATACTTTGTTAATTAAAGGCCCCATAGAGTTTTAATCTGTAACTTAGTATCTCTTGCCTCATTTATTCTTGGCATTATTTTGGGCCTATACCTTAAACTATGAACAGACAGGTCACTGAGGCTACAAGTAGAAGTTTAATACCAGGTGAGTAGAGCCAAAAGTAAAGTACTAAAAATCAAAGTACAGTAGGATAAAATTTTCTTCTAAAGTTGTCCTTACATTGTGTCTTTCTTGTTTGATAGCTTTTTTACCAGGGCTGTCTCAATGTAAGGTCTACCCAGTGATGGGGAGTTCATCCGAGACTCTGTCTATCAGTGCCACCTCCACAACTTCTGGTAATAAAGACGGCATGACTACAAGTACTGGAGATTTTTCTAGCCCTTTGACACAAGGTACAGGTTAAAAAAAGAAAGAAAAGGAAAAAAAAAAATGTTTAATCCCAATATTAGTCTGGGTCTTCAAGGACCTTCTTGGAGGTTAAATTAGAGCTTACATTTGAAAATTAGGCTGGTGCAGTGGCTCACACCACTATGGGAGGCTGAAGCAGAAGGATCACAAGTTCTAGTACTTCCTGAGCAATTTAGTGAGATTTTTGTCTCAAAATAGTATACAAATAAATAAATAAATAAGGGCTAGTTGGTATGAAGACCCTACATTCAATTCCTAGTACTGCAAAAGACAGAATAATTTCATCCTTTTATGAAAATAAATTAGCTTTTCTTTCTTTTTTGGTACCAGGAATCGAACTCAGGACATTGTGCTTGCCAGGTAGGCACTTGTGCTGCTGAGCTATATCCCTGGCCCACAAGTTAGCTTCCTTACGAAGAAGTTCTCAGACACGTTGGTATTCTGATACCCATTAATGATTCTTTACCTTCACACAAGTGAACTCATCCACTGAATCCATTGCTGGATTTGGGGACAGAATATATCATACCTACAAGGCAGGTAGTTTCAGCTACTGCATGCCTAGATAACATTTAAATGCTCAGCACTTGTAACAGTGATGATACCAACCGTGTATTTTCGTATTCACGGTTTTTAGAAACAGCCCTCCCTAAATTGGCCAGGATTCAAATTCTGTAAGATTTAAGTCTGGGTTGTATCCTAATTCCAGCCAGGGGAAAACTAAATATGAGACTAGTAATAACTAAGTGCATTATGAGCCATTTGCCCTGATTTGGCTTATGACACAGAAGCAAAGTCAATTCACCTTTGTTTGTCCTGTACCCTGCTTAACTCAAGAAAAGCATAGGAAAGATGATTTATTTTACTCCATACAGTGTGTCAGAGCAAAAGAAAAGGGACTCTGAGAAAGGTGACAGGGAAAGATAAGTTTAGAACTTGTGCACTCAAGCCTTTTCTTCTCTGGAGAGCATCAGCCCTGTTAACTATGGAAAATCCCAAATCCATGGAAGAAGTTGCTCATTAGGAAGAAGCTACAACAGAAGCTAGAGAAGGGCCTGTGATGTGCACCCATCCCTGAACCTGAACCTGAACCTGAACCTGAACCTAAATCTGAATCTGCATGTGAAATGGAAATTTAGTCTCTGCCTCCGAGTCAGCCTGGGCCCCTATTTGCCTGTGAGCCAGGAGAACTTCAGGTCAAAGGGCCAGTCTCCTCTCTTGTTCACATTCTCTTTTCTCCTTCTTCTACCCTCTCTCCTTTTAGACACAGAAGAGAACTTAGAGAAGAGGCGAAAATGGAGTATTGTGGTTAAATTTCTGATTGCTGCCACCCTGTTGCTCAGTGGAGTCGCCATTACAATATTTGTCATTTTTGAAGTCCCATGTCCTGTAAGTTTGTTTATGTATTTGATTCTCGAACTTGATCTAGAAAAACTCTACTGTCCCAAAGGCAGCTTGGAAAGCGCAGACTTTGGAGTGTGGGCAGATTGCTCCTTACTTTCACCAGCTGAGTGGTTTTCGGCAAGTTGTTTGCCTTCTCCAACACCAGTTGCCTGTTTATAAAATGGGACTCAAGATATTCGCTTCACATGTAGTTGTAAAGGTTCACTGATATCCTGTGTGAGAGGCACCTGGCACATAGGAGGTTTTGCTAAATGCAGGTTCCTTTCCTCTGCTGTACTTGCATATTCTGTAGGAGAGCCAATTCTATATACTTTAGAAGAGACAGTTTCCTCTCAATAACATGAGGTTTGGAAAATAATCAAATATTTACTAGCCATGGAAGTTAATACCAGTCATTTTCTCCTTTCAGAGACAATGGCAAAGAGCCAGAAGGCTGTGCCAATGCCAGCGGTTGTGGAGAAGGCAAAAGAAGGGAGACGAGGAACCAGGGACAGCTGCCCCTCTGCCTGAGAAGGGAAGTGTTCTCTCTGGTGTATGTCACTTGTTTAGAGGAAATAGGGTTAACACAAAAGTGCTGGTACTTTTGAAAGCTACTTCATTAATAAAGCAAACGTGGGTAATTCTTTTATATGTCAGGCAAAGGTATTTGTACTGCTGTTTGCTAACATTAACCCAACTAAAACACAACAGGGCACTTAGTGAAAATACATAATCTGGACCCAAATATTCTGACTCAGAATGTCTGGCTAAGTGTGGTGGCACACATTTGTAATCCCAGCACTTGGGAGGAAAAGGTTTGTCACAAGTTTGAGGGTAGGCTGAGGGAAAAGGTTTGTCACAAGTTTGAGGGTAGTCTGGGATACCTAGTAAGCTCAAGGCCAGCCTGAACTACATAGTAAGACCCTGTCTCAAAAAAACAAAAACAAATGGGGCCACAAATCTCTCTCTTTTTTTTTGAGGTGGGATCCTGCCTCAGCTTCCCAAGTAGTTGGATCTACAGATCCAAGCTACTGTGCTGGCTTTTTAAGATTTTTAACGAGTTCTCTAAGGAGTGGACTTACTGTGAAAATAATAAAGCTTAAATTTGAGGACCCATAGACCCTGTCCCAAAGTCTTGTATCCAATTTTTTGTTTTTGTTTTTGAGACAAGGTCTCACTATGTAGCCCAAACTGTCCTCGAATTCACGGTGATCCTTCTGCCTCAGCCTTCTGAGTGCTGGGATTACAGGTGTGTGTGACCATACCTGGCTTTCCAATTTTGTGTTTTAAAAAATTGTATTAGAGGAAGTTTCCTAAAATTGTAAGATCTTTAGAATCTGCAATGTATATACTGTATATTCTTTCTTGTCCCTAGGTAACTTTCTTTTCTTTTGTTTTCCTTTTTTTCTTTCTCCCTTCCTTCTTTCCCTTTCCCTCCCTTCCCCTCCCCTCCTCTCTCCTCCCTTCCCTTTCTCTCCCCTCCCCTCCCCTCTCCTCCCTTCCCCTCTCCTCTCCCTACCTCTGCACTGGAGATTGAACCCAGGACCCACACACTAAGCTGTATCCCCAGATTTTTATTTTTGAGACAGGGTCTCACTAAACTGCTACATTGCCCAGGCTGGGCTTGAACTTATAATCCTCCTGTCCCAGCCTCCTAGAGTGCTGGGAATACAGATATGTCCACGACACTCAGGTTAGGGGTATATACAGCAAAATCTAGAATCCATCACTCTTGAAAACAGTTTGAAGACGTAGGAAGCCAACTTCTTCCTTCCTTATCTTTGGGTTTCCTGACAAGATTATAAATTAATAGTACTCTTTGCTGTCTGAAACAGACACTGTATCACTGGCTCAGCATGGATGGTTAAAATCTAGCTTCACCCAGGAGTAGACTTGGCCTTTGACTATTAGACATTTCTGAGTACCTACTCTGAGACATCTACACCGGCCAAGGCATAGAGATAAGGTTTCCAATACTTTAAAAATTAATACCAGGTGTTACCTATACTAACAGTGGTGTGTATCTGTAGTCCCAGCCTACTTGGGAGGCTAAGGCAGGAGGATTATTTGAACTCACAAGTTCCAAGTTCAAGACCACCCTGGCCAACATAGCAGACCTTGTTAAAAAAACAAACGAACAAATAGGTATTTACTTTTCTAGAATAAGGCATTTAGAATAGATTCAAAGGTTATCTCATACAGAAGATCGATCCCCAATACAATAAAAAATTACCTAGTCTAGGATAGTATGCATGCTGCTACTCTTTAAATCTCTGTCAGATGCACATAACAATAATCAAGCTGATCCTCTCTCCACCCAGGTCTTCACACCACTGCTACTGACAGTATTAGATATATTTGGTCAGGTCCCAAAATCTCTGCCTTTTTCTAAATATAGCGAGATTGTTTGGATCTGATTCAAACAATGAGGTAGAATCACAGCATATCTGGGATCCAATCCAGCCGCAGATACTGTACCCAGGGCCTTTTCTACTCAAGGCAAATATGTCCAGCAAGGAATCAGTGGGCACTTCACTAGTGGGTTATAGGTTCCAACCAATTATGAGTTTTTATTCTTATATGCACCTTGATCATATTTTTCTGAGTTAAGTGTTGGGTAATAAAGAGGTAAAATGAAGTAGTACTTGGCATGATACTAGGTTTTGTACTTAGCAATTCCTTTGTTGATGTATGAAGAATCATTAATTTTCATCCTGTCTATGGTTCATATTTCCTTTCAATCTGTAGGTTGGACAAGATGCTCCTAATTCATCAAACTCAAAGAAAGCCACAGGCATCACTATTATCCACCAGACATACTTCTGAAAAGTTGTGCTCTGCCTCACCCACTGAATGAATACACTGCCTTCTCCATATTATTAATCAGTATAAGAAGATTCTCTTTTTGTGTGTGGCACTGGAGATTGAACCCAGGGCTTTGGCACTGAGCTACAATTAAACTTTTTTTCAGTGGTGGTGCTGGGGATTGAACCCTGTGCCTTGTGCATGCTAGGCAAGCACTCTACCACTGAGCTATGTCCTGAAGAGTCCTGCCAATGTTACACTCAGATCTTCATCCAGACACTAAAATCAATAATACCAAAGGAAGAGCCTGGGCTAGGCAGTTATCTTTATACCACTGCTACTGACATGGCCACAGGTGTCTGTGATTAACTCTGTACATCCATGAAAATGGTTGTGGTTCCACTCTTCAAATGAGGACGAAAAGCCTTCCCCCGAGCACTGTGAATGGATCTTATTGCCAGAGACTTAAGCACAGCTTCTGAGAAAGTGGGCAAGGTAGGTGATAGTGTGACGCACATCCCAACTCCTCCACTGCCCTCACTGACAACTTCATGCTTACAGCTGACTTCACTTCATGGCTGTCACCTAGTTTACATGGGGTACCTGCTCTCCCAGGCTGATTTCATACGGTTTTAGGATTTAGCCTCTGCCATCACATGTAGCTATCAACATGCTGAGAAGAGAAACCCAACCCTAAGCATTCCAAAGTCCTCCTCAGAAGTCATCACCAGGGGGTCAGGGCTGCAAACAAACACTACTCTAGTGAAGTCTTTTGAGAGTCCAGAGTTCCTAAAGCGGGGCTGATGTTACACTTTTTTTTTTTTTTGGACAGTGTCTTACTATGTAGTGCAGACCGGCCTTGAACTCAAGGCACTCTTACCCATTGGCTATGCCTTATTTTAGTAGTCTGCATACAGTTTGGCCCACCAGGATTCCAGAGTAAAATGGTTATGATGACTCTTCTCACAGGGCACAACTCTGAACACAGTCTAATCTGCCTAAGTAAGAGTTTGCTGAGAAAGTGGAAACAGCTGATCTTGAAATAGTGCTTAGGTTAAAAGGAGAAATGCAGGGTGTCACCTCACTGCTCTTTGGAAGATTCTGAAACCACCTCATTTTGGTGCAACAAGCCTGCTTCTAGGTAATTCTCATTTCTTAGTTTTCTCAAAGAAACCATGCACAAATTGTGTCCTTCTCTCATTTCAAGTACCGTCTGAGATGGTGATTCTCAAAACTCTGCTAGCAGGGGAGCAAACGGTGACTGGAAGAGATGATAGACCAAAGCATGGGTGATGACAGGTTTCAAGGAAGCCCTAAAGAACCTCTGATGTTCCGCAGTGCATGCTCTGCACACATAGCAGACAAAGGACAGAACACGGGGTGGCCTCAAATAAGTGAGTGTTGTATATTATTTGCACCCTGCTACTCATTCACAACATTGCCTTGAGTTTATCCTAGCATTTGTTATTCTATTTTACCTGTCTACTGCCATACTACCCTGAGTGCGCCTGATCTCGTCTGTTATTCTATTTTACCACAAAGTGGGGGTGGAGAGATGCCTACTCTTTCCCAGGACCGCAGGGAGGCTGCTTAAAAGCACTATATTCTTAGAAGATCTTCATACAACCCCACCCTCTCCAGTCTCACTCACCACAAAATGTTTCTTAATTTGAAACATGGCATTTCCCAGAAAGACAAAACCTGCGGTAAAGTCTGTGTTCATCAGTTCTGCAAAAGTGTAATTTGGGTAACATTTGTACTGATGTTCTTTATGAAACTCACTGACGGTCAAAATTGTATACTTCACTTTGGGGGTAACCATTTCCCCTGGCAAAGCAAGACCCCTCTGCAGATGTTCTGACTCAGCAATCAGTTAACAACTTTGAATCCTCTATTTCGTCACCAGTGGAGGTTTCTGAAAACTAAGAGATGGCAAAGGAGAACGGAGAACTCCTATGCAGACGCTGGAACGTGGACTTTAATCTGCAGCTTGCTTCAGTGACACAATTCTCAGGGTCCATATTAGAGATGCAACTTGATGAAACATTGTTTCTCTAGAAGTGCCAATTATTCCTTCCTAAAGTACTAAGTTTCTGTTGCAAATTCTTTCTCATTGAATTATTATATTTCATTTTTCTGATTATTAAAGCATTTTCCTTATAAAAATTTTTAAAAGTATAAAAGAATGGAAGAATAAAGTTATATTTAATCCCCCCTCCCAGAGGTAACTACCATTCACACATATATGCCTTTCTATAGACATTATAAGTATATATACACATGATAAGAAGAAATATATAGCTTGTGTAACATCATATTCTTCATGTTCTTTTATGCGTGTGTGGAGGGGGTTGCTGGAGAGTGAACTCAGGAGCTTTTCACAGAGTTGCACCTGCAGCCCTATTTTATTTATTTATTTTTTGTTTGTTTGTTTTGTTTTTTTGTTTTTCTCCGGTACCAAGAACCAGCCCTATTTTAAAATTTGCTGTTTTAAGACAAGGTCTTGCTAAGTTGCCCAGGCTGGGCTTGAACTTACAATCTTTCTGCCTTATCCTCCCAGAGAGCTGGGATTATAGCATGTGCCAACAGGCCTGGCTCTTCATGCTATTGTTAATCTAACCCATTTTTTACTAATATATTACTACCATATTTCAATTGGCTTTTTTTTTTTTTTTTGAGACAAGGTCTCTTTATGCAGTGCAGGCCGGCCTCAGACCCCAGAGTACTGGGATTACAGGTGTGCGCCACCATCTCCAGTGGCACATTTATTAAATTGTGGTTATTTTCAAGTTTTAGAGGGAAACTGGCACCTTCTCCCATCTTTTTGAAGGATCTGTATCACCTCAATAATTTTATTTTATTTTTCCAATACTAGAGATTGAACCTAGGCCCTTGGCATTGAACTATTCCTCAGCCCTTTTATTTATTTATTCATTTATTTTGGAGACAGGATCTTGTTAAATTGATAAAATGTTCAGGCTGGGCTCAAATTTGTGAT